AAGTGCCCTAGTGATTGAGCGATCATAATGAAGGCTGGTTTACTTCAAGGGATGCAGACTCATGTTGGTCCTCAGCCTCAGCCAAAAGTAGAGTCTTTGTATATTTAGTTGTCACTACTGGCATAGGGTCGTTATGAGTCAAAACCGACTCAACAGCACCTAACAACAATGCTGAGCAAAAAACAAAGACACAAACAAAAAAGTCATGGCAGATTTGCAGAAGGCCTAAATTCTAAAGAAGAAAATTGGGGGGCGGGGGGCGTCAACTATAAAAAGAGCCTCTCACAAGTGCTGTACTAGACATACCTCATCAAGCAGAAGAGGCAAGTTTGAAAAGAGGCTATCGTATATTACTCTATTATCCATATGGCACTGAAACAAAGAGAACAAGAACCTACAAATAGTTACTGTGTGCATATCAGCATCTTGATTTATTTGACAAATATACTTTTTTTCCTTTTGGGGTAAATGATTTCAAAGAACTAAAAGACTAGGACAAGAGTAACTTTTTTTAAGGAAAGAAGAATGAGAAACAGGAGAGTGGGAAAAAGACATTAGTTAGAAAAGAGAATACAATCGGCTTCTTTGCTGGTCTCTTTAGTTTCTTCTTATCCCTTTGACAATAAGATATGAAAAAACAAGGTCAGACTGAAGGAAAGAGCACTTTTTGCTTGCTGAAAAAGATGGAACATGATACAACTATAGGCAAGACAAATCAAACCACCTTTAATGAAAGTAGAGAACATTGGAAGAAAAGTGATTCTAAAGCAGAATTTGGCGATTTCTGAATAATGGTTGTGAAAATAAAATGTATTTTTATATTCCTAAAATATCTGAAAGTCCTTAGACTTAAAATTAACAATAGCTTTATTGGCACAATTTTTCACATCATAAATATTTCAAGTGTAATGTTTTTTAAAGTAATGCTCTGAGACATTGTTTTCTAAACTGCTCAAAAAAATATAAACTGCAACCAAGATCACTGCAAGCACAAATTATTAAATTTTGATAAAGTAGTTATTATACTTAGGGTACGAAGACATTAAGGCAGTATTTTCATATTCTGTGTAAACCAGCTTGACAGAGTATTTAAACTTGTTGAAGTTCTTTTCTGTAGCATTTTATGCCGTATATATGATATCATATAAATATTTATTAGTGCTCACATAAAATATAATTCTTCATTTGATTCAAGCTGCAGAAACAGTAAGAACTGTTTGCACAGGAAACTTAATGGAGTCTTAATTGTAGTGTATTACAGGCTGCCCTCTAGTGTCATTTCAAGTTACAAAACCTTAAAAATGGAAAACATTTCAATTTTGTGTCACAATGTTACTCAAATTAATTTAGATTGAAAATTATTATAAAGTAATACAAAAAAAGCATCAGTCATTTTACGTGTTAAAATAAATCTTAAGGCAGCTAAAAGAGGTTGGATCCAGGGACCATAAACTCCTCTCGATGGAGAAATCAAGATTCTCCAGCTCCCTGCAACACCTCTTTTAGTTTTCAGAACAAACACTGAAAGACTTTTCTAATGCTCCTTAGGTGTTCTGCTTCCCCAAATGACAGGGGATGGTGGAAATGAATCTGAATGCAGAACAGTTCTAGATGTCTGCACAAAGACAAGATGGTCTTCAGGTAACAGGCTGAAAGGAGACACTCTGGGAATCTTGGCAAATCACCAGTGTCACTGCCTTAGGGTACCTCATCCATATGATAACTGCACCCAAAGAAGGAACCACACTCCTGAAGGAAGACAGTTTGCAGGTTATAATATCCTTTTAACGTTTTATCTCATTATGCTAACAGCCATACAGAACATGAATATCTTTTCACTTAAAGATTATTAAACTTAAAGAACTTAAAGAATATCAACTTGCCTCAGATAGCTGACCAATGAATAATTAAAAAGTAGTCCAGCTCATAGTGCAGATGTGGAAACCCCTACATAATATTAGTTATTTTATGTCAGGTAGCTTTACCTGACTTTATCCAAACTTCCACGTGTCCATCCTCTTTATGCAGTCACACACGAAGATGCAGATCTAGTAATGTTTTATTAAGGAGCCCTGGTGGCACAGTGGTTAAGTTCTTGGCTGTTGACTGAAAGGTTGGCAGTTCGAACCCACCAGCTGCCCCACAGGAGAAAGATATGGCAATCTGCTTCTGTAAAGACTATAGCCTTGGAAACCCTATGGGGTAGCTCTACTCTGTCCTATAGAATCGCTATGCATCGGAATCAACTCAATGGCAATGGGTTTGGTTTTTTTTAATGTTTTATTATATTTTATTTTGGTTTTCTGAAAAGGTAAACTAAAACGTCATGATTCAGTGGTAAAAGAAAATAGAATACTGGGGCAAAGTTCCATGCTACAAATGCCTTAAAAAGGTTAGCTAACAAGAACAGTAAAGATTTTCTTATATCTTAAAGCTGATGGTTAAATTCCTAAGATGATCCTTCCATCTGATTAACATGCAATTAATAAAAGACATAATTTTCTCCTTTTCTGAAAGTGAGGGAAGTTACAGAATATAAAGTATCATGTATAACAACGTCATCTGAATTCTTACAATTGTTTTACTCCATGCAATCTTGCAAAAAGAACTTATCATTCTTTTCAAAGTATGGTAATCATGATCAATAAATTCATCCAATTCATAGCAGAAGGACTGCTTCCTTATCAAAACTGGTTAAGATTCATTTTTAAAGGGACTATATTTAGTGCTTACTAAATATTAAGTATACGCTCATTTACTACTTTAAGAGAGAATCTTCCATGAGTATAGTCTTTAAAAAGTTAACTTGTACAATAATTTTCAACTCAGTTTCCATGGTTAAATCACTGATAATTTTATTAATTATATATTTTATGTACTATGGAACAGTCATCTACTTTATAGTTAAATGAAGTTCCACAAATTATTGTCCATTTCAACATTTTAAAACTTCTTTGAATGAAACGTATTCAGAAAGGTAAAGCCTGTTGGAAATGTTAAGCTGGGCAACTATACTAGGAACTCAATAATGTTCTTGAGAGTGACTACAGAGTGGAGACATGCTGACATAACTATACAAAGAAAACTGTAAAATCCAAACTCTCTTCAACCTTACGCCTGATAAAACACTGCGATGCAAGTAAGTTTAACATTTTCACCTTAATGTTCCTAGTTTTGGCAGAGAAAAACGGGAACTATTATTTATTCAGGTCTGCTATGAACCAGGCCCTATGCTGCATATTTTTTTACATTTCCAAATCATGGTGGTAAAACATGCTGGACTCTCAACATCTCCTTTTTACTGATGGGAAAACAGGTTTAGAGAAGTTTGGTAGTTGCCCACACTCATTAGCGAATCAGCGTTGGGTGAGAATGAGATTTCAGCTATCTGTCTGATCCTCCCACTATGATCATGGCCTTCAAGAGCTTTTCCCATGTGCACACGTCAGAGGGAATCTTAGATACAATCAGTGTTGTAGTGATTCTCAAATGGATGCAGGAAGGAACCTCTGTAGTAAGAGTTCCTTAGGAGATTCTGATACCCACCTCCCACCTCCCCAGCCTAGAGCCCAGTCCTCACTGTATAGATGATGCCTAGGAGGCCCAGGGACTTTAAGAAACTCAAGGCACAGGGCGAGTTAGGAAAGCGGCCCTGGGCGCTTTCTACTCTACTATGAAGTTCTTAGACTGCCTCCTGCATTTTTAACATTATTTTACTGGCTAAAGAAAAGTTTTGGTTCAAAACCATTCCAGGAAAAATGTGCATATCAAAAGTAAAACACTACATAAACATATACAATATCCACTAAAAGATAAACATCCCTAGTTTAACAGTTAAGGGTCAAAGTGTGAATGAAACCATGTCAACTACCCCAGCTGCTGCAAAATCAATCCAAGTGATTATTTAGTTTAACAAGTGCAAGCCGTAAAAATAATGAAATTAAACATTTAAAATAATTACTGATTTTAAACTTACCTTAAGCCATAGCAAGGCAAAGTGAAGAGCCGAAACAGTGCCAGGCAAACTCTTAAAGGGAGCAGGGTGAACACATACAGAAATGCATCCAGGCAAAGAAAGATTCCAAAAAACATGAGCTGGATTTGAAAAGCAGAGAAGAAAAATAAAATAAAATAAATTATTATTTAAGTAATTGGAGATGAAAACTTCAAACCAGGAATTTCTAAAATTTGTGGAAAATTAGTTTCTTATAACTTAGCTACGGGAGTAACAATATTTCTACTTGTGTACATGAATCTTACTTGAATGAAAGTCCTTTTTCAAACTGCAGGTTTGTATCTCTTCAGATTTTTTTTTTTTTTAACCACCTGTTGTTGTGTTGCTGTTAAGCGCCGTCAGATTGGCTCTGACTCACAGTGACCCCACGTACAACAGAAGGAAAACACTGCCCGGTCCTGCACCATCTTCACAATCGTTGCTATGTTTGAGCCCACTGTTGCCACCACTGTGTCACCTCACTGAGGGTCTTCCTCTTTTTCGCTGACCCACTACTATACCAAGCATGATGTCCTTCTCCAGGGACTGGTCCCTCCTGATAACATGTCCAAAGTATGTGACACGAAGTCTTGCCATGCTCGCTTCTAAGAAGCATCCTGGCTGTACTTCTTCCAAGACAGATTTGTTTGTTCTTCTGGCGGTCCATGGTACATTCAATATTCTTCACCAACATCATAATTCAAAGGCATTAATTCTTCTTCGGTCTTCCTTTACCGACTACACAAGTCAATCACTCAAGAGACAAGTTGCCCTTGACCATGGCTATGAAACATCTGATGTGGCCTTCTGGGTACTTCCTCAAACTTTGAAGATATTACAGTAAGCCTTTTAGATACAACTTTTAAAATCTAACTTTACTCTTTATAATTTTACTATTAGTTGTTTATCAGAATGCTTCACTGGTGGGAATGAATGGAGCATATACTGAGTTAAAATACTGTTTCTTTATATTAAAAATACGTAAAATTATTATTAATTTTAACACAATTCCAAGTGCATTCAAAATTAAAGATATTCTTAATTCAAGAAGACCAGCTGCTAGTGTGTTTATCTCTCTCCTCTTTCTTGTATACTTGCCACACCCTTCCCTTCTTTTGTGAGGGGGTAATATTATACATTTTTTCCTGTTAAATTTAGAACTATATTTCACAGGAGGGCAGAGTCTTTTGATGGCTTGCAGAAGCAGCCACACCTAGGCTACCAAAGTCTCCTGTGTAAGAGCAGTACTTTCTGTATGTCTCACACACAAACACGGTACCACGTATATGCTCTCACACATAACTTCATGTATCTGTAGTCGATAAATTGTCCTACATAAATGTTAGTTAATATCCATACCATTAATGGAAAGGACACATTTTATTAATTTTTGACAGGAACATCACAAAGTATATTACACACATACATATGCCAGATTTCCTAATCAGAATATACTGACCCTGACAGTTCCCTAGTCCTCTTTTTTTTTCTTTTAACCATTTACACTCATTATGAACAACAATAAAAGTGCTAAACTATTAAGGATGAGTCATATGGCAAACACTACACTTTTTAAAATCTTCCCTTCACAGAAGACTGTCTCTGTTGTCAGTACACAGTCACAGTTTTGTGTTTTATCTTGTTTTACATGCAAAGGAGTGGGCAGAAGACTGAGCAAAGTCCATGTAAAGTTAATGGTCGTTATTTATCACTATCCTGTCACTGAGAAGCCTCTCCCTGTTTGCTGGTAAGACAGCTAGTTGAGCTCTGAAGGCTGAGGCTGCCAGAAACCAGACTCCCAGAAGGTATTTCAGTGTGTATGCATAAGAGACAGAGTGCAGGGAAGGAGAGGATGTGGTTGTCTTTCTCATGAGCTTAGACTGGGGATAAAGACATTATCCCTTCATCCAACCTTTATTAAGCTGTTCATATGAGCCAACTAACATGCTCAGCCCAGGCGGCATAAACAGGCATCAGGCCATGATGGTTCCTGCCTCAGTGAGCTCGTCCATACTTTAGCACTTGGAGACACCAGCAAGTAAATAAGGAAGGTCAAGGCAGCGTGAGAGCTGCCAGGACAGAGCTATGTATACAGGGGGCAGGGACGCGAGGGCGAGAGCGAGAGACAGACAGACACACAAGTGCCAAACCAACTCTGGGGAGATTCAGAAAAAGCTTCATAGAAGAGGAGACCTTGCATGACATGTGAGAAGATGAGGGCTGCTTCCATGTAGAGAGGGTGGACCCGGCAGAGGAGACTGGAGCACGCGGGAAGGGGTAGGGGAGGAAGCAAGACCACAGAGGCGTGAGTAAGTATGAAGACTAAAACTTTCTCTTCAAATAAAGATAAAAAGTATAGCCACCCTTTGGCTGAGAGGAATCTGTATTAGTATCATTCAAGGTAAACAAAATCAACAAAAGCCAAATGGGCCTTCTGCTTCACATTTCAGAACAGTCACATAAACTTGGTGGGCAAAGTTATCATCATGTCACACCGCACACTGACCCTGCAGCTGAATGACTTGTAGCTGACAATACAAGTCTCAACATTAAGATGGAAGGAAAGAAGTGGCTGGATTCCAAAGAACTTCACCTGGGTGAAAATGAATAACTTCTGTAGGCAAGAATACATGCAAAAGCAAAGCAACAGAAATGCCTTTCAGGGGGTGGAAATGTGGAAAAGTGACCGACTACTATACCGACAATGAGATGGACTGACACAGTGGTTGCAACAATGGGCTCAAGCACAACAACAATTCTGAGGATGACGCAGGAGGCAGGAGCGGGCATTGTTTTGCTCTGTTGTATACAGGGTTGCTATGAGTTGGAACCGATTTGACGGCACCTAACAACAACACTGTATCCACTGTTTGGGTGTTACATTTTCTCATAAAATACAAAGGCGTTGTTTTAAATTCTTTACAAATGAAAGAGAGAATTTCATGCATAAGCAAACAGGATGGAATCAATTTGATGGCAACTAACAATAACAAAGGCAAAATGCTTGACCAAGACCGTGGGTTAGAGTAAAACCCACTGCCATCGAGGAACTCAGATTCAATCCCAGTCTGTCTAGCCCCACACTCTCTCTTTGAAGCAGGTGAGTAGAGCAAAGAGACGTCACTTGCTATTTTGACTAGACACAGAGGTTAAGGCAATTTTCTTTGTGCTAGCTCGTCTTCTGCCAATTTGCCTAGTATCATACAAAATTGAGAAATAGTAGGCATTTAATGAATCAAACTTATAAAAAGGATAAAAATTTCCTATATTTAGATTTACTGCTAGCTTTAAAACATGTCATTAAGAACCGAAATTGTATACATTATCTATAAGAAAAATGTATACTTTCACACCCTCAGTTAATTTGTGTGGCATCTTGATAAAACAGGTAATTAGTATTTCCTTTTTATTTGGACCAAACCACCATAAAGTATTCACACATTCTTAAGCAATGGCTAACAAAATTTCCTTCTCCAGTATACAAGGTATGACTATAATGAAATTGGTACCATAAGCCATTCTGTTTCTCTTTGGATAAACACAAAATAATCTTCTGCTTAATTAATGAGGTTCTTCTTCAAAATTAAAAAAAAAAAAAAAAAAACCCATAAGTAAAAACAAGTGAAGGGTAGAAATGGCTGGCTCATGGGAGACCTTGTCTGGAATGACTTCTGAAGTCTTCTACAGGTTCTGGGCAATATACCTGGGCACTGCAGAGGTGTTGGCTCAGGGGCTACCTGTGTGCGTGGTCTCAGCCCATCTTCACCTCCACTCTTAAAGGCAGGCTGCACTACTCCCAATTTAGAGTGATACTAAGGAGCCTGCCCCAATTCTTGAGCAGCAGAGCAGGACTAGAACCTTCAGTCTCTTTGTAGAGGACAAGGCTTTGAAAGCTGAGGTACTATTTTTACTAATGACACCTGTCACTCATCCTTCTAGACTCAAACTCACCACATGATTTACTGTAATATATATAAATGAGTTAAAATAAGTTTTTAAAACCTGAACTTCAATGTTAACAAGCTTAGAAAATGAAAACGATTCTGTAACCCTGTAGGTCAACAAAACCTTCTATGCTTGTGAAAATGTCTACTACCTGCCCTTACACATTCACTTTGAACCTACTACTACTGCTCTTATCCATTTGGAAAAATATGAGCCTCAAAAAAAAAAAGAAAAAAATGCCAGCCTGTCTCTGTGGGGAATGGAGTCGGGTTTTTTAACCTTTTCAAAATCTGTTTCCCTTCTGACAAACACAAAAATCTCCTGCCCTTCTTTAATGTCATTTGAAATTTCAAAATAAAATGATGTGGCTAACAATAAATAAGCACAATACTTTTGGAACAAGCATCTTTGAATTATACAAACCATGTTCTGGAAATTCTGAATACCACCTCCTCCACCACTCTACCACATGTCACCTACAAGTTGTCTGAGTGTTAGTTGCAAAGCCAGGTCAAAGAGGCTTAGTCTCGCTTTTTATAAAGCTTCACGTCTACTCTGTAAGATGAGAGACCACATCTTGTTCAATTCTACATGGGGAAAAGGTCATCAGGGAAGAAAGGGAATCCACAATCCAGTGAGTAGGACAGACACCAACTGTGTAGTAGCGTCAGATGCACAACCCTGCTCTGGAAACAATGGTGAAGAGATTCAGTAAGTCTGTGTGACTGTGTGTGTACTTGTGTGTATGTGGCTGGGGATGGTGGCACTGAAAGGTGCACACTGGGGAGGGAGGAACAAGAGTTAGCAAAGGTCTCCCACAGAGGAGACAAGATGGACACTACATTTTCCCAGGCACAGAAAAGAGAAGCAGAATTCCAAACAGAGAGAAGACAATTGACAGGTGAAACGTGAGCAGGTGGTGTGGCCAGAATACAATCATTATATACGAAGGATAAAAATGATCTTGAGTTAATTACTAAAGAGCTGAAATGTTTATCTTGTGTTGTAGAATTTCTCAAAAACCACATGTAATGGTCCATTATTAGAACATCAAGAAGAATGGGTTATAAATAAGAAAATTTACAAATGACTGACTTTGAAAGCAATTACTACAGATCCAAGGCCATCCCTATAATAAAATCACTTTCATTCATCT